AAAGAAGACGGGAAGGAAAAATAATTGTTCATTAACGATTTGTCTGAAATATCGTTCTTGAAACACGCTACTGCTCAATAATTTGTAAAAATCAAATTTTTTCACTTAATTGTTATATTTTTCTTCATTGTGGTAAATTTCCACATCATCACAACAGCTGGCTGTCAAACCGAAACCAAAAAAATACCAGAACATTCAGGGCGCAATCTTCTTTCCTATGATTATTGTACTGCTACTTTGAATTTATCAATTTTGACAATTCTGATCTAAAAGTATACGAAACCTCAGAAACTTTTAATGCACTGAAATTAACTAATACCCACTTCCGCAAAAATCACCTTTTTTCGTATTTTCCTTGTTAAAAGTTATTGTAAATCATATATTTTTATCACCTTATTCATAAAAAATAAAAATTTTAAAAAGCTTTTTTGAATTGCCGTTTAAAAACATTTTTCAATTTATAAACCTTTTTTAGGCTACTTTATTTTTTATGAATAAGGCTATTAGAAATTAGCACAATTAAGACACGTTCCTTATAGAAAAATGTATTATTAAGAAAATAAGCCGTTCTCACATTTTCTTGCAACATCCAATTGGACTTTGTTTACTTTTTGTGTGTGTCATCGCCGCCAGGACGGCGCAATCTTGTATTCTATCTTTCTTGTCAAATATGCATTATATCTAACTGTCATACTACTATTAATGGTAACCATGAATATTCATTAAAATCGTTTCAATTCGTAATAAAAGTAGTTTACATACTTCTAGTCTAAATATATTTTTATACCCGAGCGCACTTGTGCACAAGGGTATATTAATTTTGTTCACACGGGCGTGGCACCGCCCACTTATGATCACATATATGGGGCATTTCACCTCAAGTGACCCAACTTTTGAAATCTATGTCTTCCGATCGGGATGAAATTTGCACCAAGGTTAGTCCTAAAAAATAGTAGTTATGACACAAAATTTCAATGGGATCGGTCAAACACACTCCGAGTTGGAGGGTCTTGAATTTTGACATTTTGGTCAAACGGCCATTTTTTCGGATCCATATAACTAATTACCTATTGTATTTAGAAAATTTTTTCAGGAATGTTTTCGATAGATTTCTCTTCAGTCTTTACAAATTTTATTTTTTTTTA